GAATACAGAGCCTGGTGTGGAGGTTGAACACAGAGCCAGGTGTGGAGGTTGAATACAGAGCCTGGTGTGGAGGTTGAACACAGAGCCAGGTGTGGAGGTTGAACACAGAGCCTGGTGTGGAGGTTGAACACAGAGCCAGGTGTTGAGGTTGAACACAGAGCTAGGTGTGGAGGTTGAACACAGAGCCAGGTGTGGAGGTTGAACACAGAGCCTGGTGTGGAGGTTGAACACAGAGCCTGGTGTGGAGGTTGAACACAGAGCCTGGTGTGGATGTTGAACACAGAGACTGGTGTGGAGGTTGAACACAGAGCCAGGTGTGGAGGTTGAACACAGAGCCTGGTGTGGATGTTGAACACAGAGCCTGGTGTGGAGGTTGAACACAGAGCATGGTGTGGAGATTGAACACAGAGCCCGGTGTGGAGGTTGAACACAGAGCCAGGTGTGGAGGTTGAGCACAGAGCCAGGTGTGGAGGTTGAACACAGAGCCAGGTGTGGAGGCTGAACACAGAGCCAGGTGTGGAGATTGAACACAGAGCCAGGTGTGGAGGCTGAACACAGCCAGGTGTGGAGATTGAACACAGAGCCAGGTGTGGAGATTGAACACAGAGCCAGGTGTGGAGATTGAACACAGAGCCAGGTGTGAAGGTTGAACACAGAGCCAGGTGTGGAGGCTGAACACAGAGCCAGGTGTGGAGGCTGAACACAGAGCCAGGTGTGGAGATTGAACACAGAGCCAGGTGTGGAGGCTGAACACAGAGCCAGGTGTAGAGGCTGAACACAGAGCCAGGTGTGGAGGCTGAACACAGAGCCAGGTGTGGAGGCTGAACACAGAGCCAGGTGTGGAGGCTGAACACAGAGCCAGGTGTGGAGATTGAACACAGAGCCAGATGTGGAGGCTGAACACAGAGCCAGGTGTGGAGGCTGAACACAGAGCTAGGTGTGGAGGTTGAACACAGAGCCAGGTGTGGAGACTGAGCACAGAGCCAGGTGTGGAGGCTGAACACAGAGCTAGGTGTGGAGATTGAACACAGAGCCAGGTGTGGAGGCTGAACACAGAGCCAGGTGTGGAGGCTGAACACAGAGCCAGGTGTGGAGGCTGAACACAGAGCTAGGTGTGGAGGTTGAACACAGAGCCAGGTGTGGAGACTGAACACAGAGCCAGGTGTGGAGACTGAACACAGAGCCAGGTGTGGAGACTGAACACAGAGCTAGGTGTGGAGATTGAACACAGAGCCAGGTGTGGAGGCCGAACACAGAGCCAGGTGTGGAGGCTGAACACAGAGCCAGGTGTGGAGGCTAAACACAGAGCTAGGTGTGGAGGTTGAACACAGAGCCAGGTGTGGAGGTTGAACACAGAGCCTGGTGTGGAGGTTGAACACAGAGCCAGGTGTGGAGGTTGAACACAGAGCCTGGTGTGGAGGTTGAACACAGAGCCAGGTGTGGAGGTTGAACACAGAGCCTGGTGTGGAGGTTGAACACAGAGCCTGGTGTGGAGGTTGAACACAGAGCCTGGTGTGGAGGTTGAACACAGAGCCAGGTGTGGAGGTTGAACACAGAGCCTGGTGTGGATGTTGAACACAGAGCCTGGTGTGGAGGTTGAACACAGAGCCTGGTGTGGAGATTGAACACAGAGCCCGGTGTGGAGGTTGAACACAGAGCCAGGTGTGGAGGTTGAGCACAGAGCCAGGTGTGGAGGTTGAACACAGAGCCAGGTGTGGAGGCTGAACACAGAGCCAGGTGTGGAGATTGAACACAGAGCCAGGTGTGGAGGCTGAACACAGCCAGGTGTGGAGATTGAACACAGAGCCAGGTGTGGAGATTGAACACAGAGCCAGGTGTGGAGATTGAACACAGAGCCAGGTGTGAAGGTTGAACACAGAGCCAGGTGTGGAGGCTGAACACAGAGCCAGGTGTGGAGGCTGAACACAGAGCCAGGTGTGGAGATTGAACACAGAGCCAGGTGTGGAGGCTGAACACAGAGCCAGGTGTAGAGGCTGAACACAGAGCCAGGTGTGAAGGCTGAACACAGAGCCAGGTGTGGAGGCTGAACACAGAGCCAGGTGTGAAGGCTGAACACAGAGCCAGGTGTGGAGGCTGAACACAGAGCCAGGTGTGGAGGCTGAACACAGAGCCAGGTGTGGAGATTGAACACAGAGCCAGATGTGGAGGTTGAACACAGAGCCAGGTGTGGAGACTGAACACAGAGCCAGGTGTGGAGGCTGAACACAGAGCTAGGTGTGGAGATTGAACACAGAGCCAGGTGTGGAGGCTGAACACAGAGCCAGGTGTGGAGGCTGAACACAGAGCCAGGTGTGGAGGCTGAACACAGAGCTAGGTGTGGAGGTTGAACACAGAGCCAGGTGTGGAGACTGAACACAGAGCCAGGTGTGGAGACTGAACACAGAGCCAGGTGTGGAGACTGAACACAGAGCTAGGTGTGGAGATTGAACACAGAGCCAGGTGTGGAGGCCGAACACAGAGCCAGGTGTGGAGGCTGAACACAGAGCCAGGTGTGGAGGCTAAACACAGAGCTAGGTGTGGAGGTTGAACACAGAGCCAGGTGTGGAGGCTGAACACAGAGCCAGGTGTGGAGACTGAACACAGAGCTAGGTGTGGAGATTGAACACAGAGCCAGGTGTGGAGGCCGAACACAGAGCCAGGTGTGGAGGCTGAACACAGAGCCAGGTGTGGAGGCTGAACACAGAGCCAGGTGTGGAGGCTGAACACAGAGCCAGGTGTGGAGGCCGAACACAGAGCCAGGTGTGGAGGCTGAACACAGAGCCAGGTGTGGAGGCTGAACACAGAGGCAGGTGTGGAGGCTGAACACAGAGGCAGGTGTGGAGGCCGAACACAGAGCCAGGTGTGGAGGCCGAACACAGAGCCAGGTGTGGAGGCTGAACACAGAGCCAGGTGTGGAGGCTGAACACAGAGCCAGGTGTGGAGGCTGAACACAGAACCAGGTGTGGAGGCTGAACACAGAGCCAGGTGTGGAGGCCGAACACAGAGCCAGGTGTGGAGACTGAACACAGAGCCAGGTGTGGAGACTGAACACAGAGCCAGGTGTGGAGACTGAACACAGAGCCAGGTGTGGAGACTGAACACAGAGCCAGGTGTGGAGGTTGAACACAGAGCCAGGTGTGGAGACTGAACACAGAGCCAGGTGTGGAGGTTGAACTGCTGAGTGTGGGAAATGAAGAGCGAGGTGTGTGGGGGGGGGGGACAAAGCTAAAATAGTTGAGATACGATGTTATCAGGATAAAAAATTATAATGTGGATTATCACTTAGCTAAGCTGATCCAGGCACTCACCCCGACCACTCTAGTTTATTCTCTTCTTTTCTCCTCTACTCTACTGTGTTTTTTTTTTTTCATTCTACTCTAGGCTGCTGAAATCTTTTCTGCTCTACTCTGCTCTACTTTCATCCCGAGCAGTAATGGAAAACAAATAAAAAATAAAAAAAATCTGAAATTGTTGGATCACTGAGTTGGATCACTGAGCTGGATGACTGAGCTAGATCACTGAGCTGGATCACTGAGCTAGCTCACTGAGATGGATCACTGAACTAGCTCACTGAGCTGGATCACTGAGCTAGCTCACGGAGCTGGATCACTGAGCTGGATCAATAAACTGGATCACTAAGCTAGATCACTAAGCTGGATCACTGTATTTTAGATAGCGTCACAGAGCAGAATCAACGCTGAGGTGAACCTCCGTGCGTGGAGTGGCTTTAATCACTGGGAATTAACGTGTATTGCAGATATTTCCTAACACATACCTACCAAGCTGGATACCACTGGCATTCACCGTCTAATTTACTAGAGCTCCAGCTCTAGCAAATTAGAGCCTCACCACTTGAAACCTAGCCAAACGAATTGTGCTCAATTCAGGATTTTGATATCTTAGGACTGTCGCGTCATGTTATTTTTAATGTGATGCATAGTTTGATTGATCACTATGAAGTTGTCTTCTTATTTTGGTTATATTTTCGTATTTAATAGAAGATAAAGAAACCACAGTTTGCTGTAAGACGCGCAGTATATAATCAGTCTGTTTAGTTAACCGAAAAATACAAAAATTATTAAGATTATCATATTACTCCCACAACAAAATCATCAACCTTTTACTCATCAAGGGATGTCAGGTAACGTGATGCGAGCCATGATAATAGTCCAGAAAGGACAGAAACATCTTATACAGTTTTCAAATTGTGGGTTAGATGTGAATTGCTCTACCCTAGTAAATTATAACTTTCAGTCCTCACTAAAACATGTCTAACACGGCCGCCATGATCCGAGTAAGTGACAACTCGCAATACCTATGTTATCATTATTGTATATATAATCTCGCTGTAACATATATATGGGCTGGGTCAGTAGTTACTCAGTACCACCATAGGAGATATCAACTCATTCGTTACTTTTTCAGTTTTCCGGTATCACTGTCTCTGCCAGTGTTTATTAGTGCATTGCAGCAAATCCTACATATTTCTCTTAAAATATTACCAACTTTCGTCACAAAGTTCTTAAAATGAGCAAAAAATGATGTTGGTAATACTAATTCAGTATTCCTGTATTCTGCTAGACTTTAAGATACTGCGTCCGGTACTGCACTGTATCCTCATTTCTACAGTTGACTCATTCACAGTTGATACATCAACCAATTTCTACTCCTCTCTTTCCATCTATTTTTTATCATACTCAGGTTCCATCTACTGAAATCTTTTGGTAACTTTTTAGATTTAGTAATTCTCAACAAGTTCATACTTTTTTCTTTTAACTCTTCATCAATGTAATATGCTTCGGTGTTTCACACTAACATGAGCCAAGTTTAACTTGCTATTCCCTTCACTGGAAACCTTGATGCTTACCGAAGGGTTCTTGATCCGATAAACTGAAACTACACTTCCCTTCATTAAATCTAACCTGATCACCTAGGATTCTCCAGGCTTTTTATAACCCCTACAGTTTTATCTCCTTGAATATAATGTGTTTCTTATCCAGGTGTGGCCGCCTCTCCTCCTGTCCATGTGTCTCCTCGTTCACTCGGCAGCCACCAGTCCATTGACACAGAAGGGCGAGTACGATAATTACGCATATAATGAAGAGGACTACGGAGACACAGGGGAAACCAAGCCAGAGTCTGAATTCGCTGCAGAGAAGCCTGAAGTTCACGCAAAACCTCAAACACTGTTAGTGACACAGCCTGAGCTTCTGCAAGCAACGGAACCTCTGACAGCGGAAGAGCCAAAACAAAGAAGTACAGGAAAAATGGAAGGTTCGAAGGTAGAGTCAACAACAGAACCAACACTGGAGCCGAAGCCACAACTCTCGGTAGAGCCTGAACTCCAGTCGTCACAGCTTAATGACACTAGAGTGGAAATGACCGACTCAGTAGACTTGCAGTCGCTTGAGGTATTTACAAATAGCTCGATCGAGGAAGAGACAGACATCGTCATCCCTCACGTTAATGAAACCAAGGGGATCAATGCTGTTCCCGGTGAGTAAACTTAGACTGTCTGTCACATACAGTAGTCTCCCCGCTACATGTATTAAGTTTTCTTCATCTCACACGGCTTTGTTATTTTCCTTCTTTTTTCATTGTCTTCACCTTGAATCTAGGACACTGTTACGTTTAGTTTTGCAATACATTATATATATCTCTATTATTAAAGATTAGCCGGTATTCTCCCGGCCCGGGCCTTTTCCAAGTGGTGGCCCGGCCTTGGCTCCCTGTTTAGGGAGTGTCTGAGACCTAAGTCTTCCATGGGAGGAGGCACAAGTACCTCCTCATCTTTGGGACCAACTGTCCCCAGGCCTAGCCACAAGCTAGGCCTCTCTGGTCTGCCATCCCCGCCCCAAGGGGGCTAATGGGAATGACAGTCAGCTAAAGGCTCGGGCTCAGGCACCTACCCTACCCTAGAAGGGTTAGGCATGGTATCGATCTATATATCTCATATTTTATTTTTATATGAATAAAAATATTTTTAAAATACAAGATATTACGTGACATTATGTAACTATCTTTTTAAAGTTGAATGACTGATGTTCTGGACCTAAATCCAGTTATAAAAGATGTTTATGTTATGATAGTTATGGAAGCATTTCTTAAATTATTTATTAACATATATTAACAGGACAAGAATCATAGACCGTATGTGAACTGGATATCAAAACACCAGTCGTAAAAACTAATAAATACAAAATATCGTTAGGGACTCAATATTCATGCTAGATGAAAAAAATGAGATAAAAATTAGGGCTTCACTTGCCTCAGAGTAAAACATTTTTCTTACTTCATCAATTGCTAATGACAATGATTCTCGAGTGACTTTGGAAAAGTTTTTGCCAACTATTTCGTCGTTTTCTGGCAGTTTGTATAAGCTAGCATATCAGTTATAGACGAGTTTATAAAAGGTAACTTGGAAGACAGAAGCGTGTTAACATACTGTATGGGATATCAGAGTAATAACACCTTGTACCAGTAGTACTTGCATGTTAGTGATCACAATTTAAGATGTATTTAATTTTGCCTTATCATATCTGATTAAGACATTTTTTTTCTTTTCTTCTTGCTTCAACTCATTCACAATGTTTTGTCTGTTTGGTATTCTCTGCAATAATGCAAATTCACTAACTAAAGTTTTCCATAATGTTGTGATTTCTTACGAACGTTTTTCGCAATTTCATTACTTGTGACTAACTTTTCAGTTTACCCTGGCTTGCAGTGTAGACTCACACGACGGTATACTCATCCTTAATAACCTTGTATACCGCTGGTATTCAGTGAGGTTTTTAACTAAATATAAGTTTAGGAAACATTCCGTGCATCGATACCATGCCTAACCCTTCTAGGGTAGGGTAGGTGCCTGAGCCCGAGCTTTTAGCTCATAAGACTGTCATTCCCATTTGTCCCCTTGGGGCGGGGATGGCAGACCAGAGAGGCCTAGCTTGTGGCTAGGCCTGGGGACAGTTGGTCCCAAAGATGAGGAGGTACTTGTGCCTCCTCCCATGGGAGACTTAGGTCTCAGACACTCCCTAAAGAGGGAGCCAAGGCCGGGCCACCACTTGGACAAGGCCCGGGCCGGGAGAATACCGGCTAATCTTTAACTAACTAACTAACATTCCGTGCTTTCACGATCCTGTAATTACTATACCTGTTGGGGGTAATATAGATGATGACTGCAAAAACATTTAAATGGCAACAGTCTATTAAGTAGATCAGCTCGTGCCATAATCACACAAAATAAAATTAAAGTGGTCATACGTTTGGTTTTAACGATCATTGTTCCTCTCTGTGCTATTATTATTACGACCACCGTAAGGTACGAGGCCTGTAGGGGGTACGACCACCGTAAGGTACGAGGCCTGTAGGGGGTCACATGGGGAATGGGATGTAATCATTATTTATCCTTGGAAAAGGAGGGTAACAAATTGACGAAGAAAAAATGTCTTTTTCGTGTTATTTGAATTAATTTTTGTTTGCTAAAATTGTGGTGAGCACGAGAAAACAATTATATGGAAGTATTGTGTATTCTCTTTAAAAGAGCATCCAGTGTCTGATATCTACAAGGTTTTGAGGTATTTTGTGAATTACAGTGTTACTCCTCCCTAAGTAAAATTAAACATACATATACACACAAAAAACACTATTATTATCACTAATAACATCACCACCACCGCCACTACTACTACCAAAAGAATCATCATTACTATCACCATCTTCACGACCACCACCGACACTACAAATACTACTACCGCACTACTACCAACATTATCACCAGTACTATCACTTACTAACATCACCACTACCACTGCTGGTATCACCACCATCAACACTGCCACCAACATCTCCACCTGACCTATAACTTCACTAACCTTTCTGATCTACCCCGCCTGCCTACAGCAAGTTGCACACAGCCACCAGACTCTGGGATGTGTCGAGGGAATATACCGATGTTCTACTTCGACCCGGCCTCTAAGACGTGTCGTCGCTTCGTATACGGAGGTTGTCGAGGTAACGACAACTTGCACCAGACAGCGACTGAATGCTATAATAAGTGCTACCCACAGGTCTTCGCAGGTATGTGTGGGATGAAAGGAAGGTTTGAAGAAAATAATACTTTAAATGTAAAAATGTTTTGCTTGGTAGCTTGTACGCACTTGTTTCTTGTTGAGCTCTAACTTCTGGCCCTGTCTCTTAAAATACACTAAACTGGTTCAGTAGGGTACTTCCACATCTACTGATCAATCTACCATCGCTTTTCTGTATGTTTACATTTTCTGAAAGATTGAAATTGATTTTATAGTCGTGCTTTGTTACTGGTTAAGAATCTTCCGAAAAAAATCATGATCGAGATAACAATATGCTGCTAGGGATTCCAAATAAATCTGTCTTCTTTGCTTGCCGGAAACTGATATTGATGCTGCT